AAGCCAAACTGTCCTTCGAAGAGAATAAGAGCTCTTAACCACTGAGCTATCTCTCCAGACCCCAATTTTTGTCATTTTGTAATGGTCAAAGCAAAAGTAATATTCAGTACTGTATAAACACTGGGTACTTAGAATAAATGTGAGTGTATAAGGAGACTTCAGCTACTAGATCATGGGATGAAGAGTGGGTACCAGTAGGTGTAGGGTATGACTTAGAGCACAAATATTTCTTAATTAGTATGGCAGAAACTCACTATGTGTGGGTGCTGGGGATCAAACCTAGAACCTAGTGCAGCTATGTATCTAAGGTCCCATTAAGTTCAATCTTCTAATGGCAGCTTCTGCTGAACCAGGGAGTGTTGGTTAAAAAGACTTGATAAGAAGTCAATTCTCATTGGTCAGTTTTACTGAGGTGCTGCTTTTTTGTTTGTTTTATTTTTTTTTTTTTTGGTTTTTCGAGACAGGGTTTCTCTGTGGTTTTGGAGCCTGTCCCGGAACTAGCTCTTGTAGACCAGGCTGGTCTCGAACTCACAGAGATCCGCCTGCCTCTGCCTCCCGAGTGCTGGGATTAAAGGCGTGCGCCACCACCGCCCGGCTTGTTTGTTTTATTTTGATTTGATTTATTTGAGATAGGTCTCACACTGTGTATGCCAAGTAGGTCTGAAACACCCTGTAATTTTCCTACTCAGTCTTTCAAATGCTAGGACTATATTAAAGAAGATGGCTAGTTCATCAAAGTTTTAATGTATATAGGTATAAAAGTGTTATTGCTGAATTTTTTAGCTTTAAAATTATTTTATTATTTATCGCATGTGCATGTATGTGTGGGTATGTGTGCAAATGTGGAGGACAGAGGAAACTCTTCACCAGGTAGACCCAGGGCTGGCGGGTTGACTCAGGTTGTCAGGTTTGGTGGGAAGAGGCTTTGTCTACTGAGCCATTTCACTGGCCACATAGTGTTGTTTTGAGATAGAATCCTATCGTGTAGTCTAACCTGGCCCTACACCTATGCTCCTCCTGCCTCTGGTTCAGTGTTGGGATAACTGGTATACATCACCACATTTAACTCATACTTTAGTTATAGCTCCTTTCTTCATCGCTAGTAATTTTGTCTTTTATTTTGAATCTTAGACCCTCCTCTATTTGACTAGCTTTTTTTTATTACAGACTTTTATTGATTATGTATACAGGGTTGTTCCTGCATGTATCCTGCAGGCCAGAAGAGGACACCAGATCTTTTACAGATGGTTGTGAGCCACCATGTGGTTGCTGGGAATTGAAATCTTTACCTCTGAGCCATCTCTCCAACTCCTTGAATAGCTTTTCCTTTTTTTTTTTAAAGATATATTTATTTATTATGTATACAACATTCTGCCTGCCTGTATGCCCATATGCCAGAAGATGGTGCCAGGTCTCATTACAGATGGTTGTGAGCCACCATATGGTTGTTGGGAATTGAACTCGGGACCTCTGGAAGAGTAGCTGGTGCTCTTAACCACTGAGCCATCTCTCTAGCCCCTTGAATAGCTTTTCAAACAGAAAAAACAAAACAAAACAAAACTTTTTTTTTTCTAGGCTTTCTCGAGACAGATTCTTATGTAGCTCTGGTTTTCCTGGAATTCAGAGATCCTCTGCCTCTCAAGTGCTGAGATAAAAGGTGCGCACTATTGTGCCTGACTGCATTTTCATTTTATTCTCTCTCTCTCTCTTTTAAAAAGTGTACTAGTGTTTTGCCTTCATGTATGTCTGTATGAGAGTGTCAGATTCCCTTGAGCTGGAGTTAGACAGCTGTAAAATGCCTTGTGGGTGCTGGGAATTGAACCCAGGTCCTCTAGAAGAGCAGCCAGTGCTTACACTGAGTCATCTCTCCAGCCCTATATTTTCAATACTGATTTTATATTACTATTTTTCATTATTCCCATACATCTTTTATTGAGTTTATCCCACTTCTCCTCAATTTTGTTGATTAAGTTTATCAACTTTCAGTCCTCTAATTTCATTACACCTGGACTTTCTCTTTCTCCTTCCCTGACAGAATCTCACTATATGTAGCTTAGGTTAGCCTCAATCTCATCCTCCTCCTGCCTCAACCTCTTAAATGCTAGAGTTACAGTGTGAACTACCATGCTAAGCTAAATGTGGGCACGTCTAATAACTGTGCTAACTAAATTGTACTGAGTTCAGAGAAAATTATTTGTGACAGCATTTCTTTGATAACTACTGTGCAGTTTAATACAAGTTGTTTTTTTGTTCTAGATCTGTTTGAATGGATATATTTACTGTTTGAGGGAACAGAATTGAACAGAATTCTAAAAAAATGTATGTCTTTAAATTTTCTAAAGCCTTATTCAATTTTTAAATCCCTTTTAAAAAGCATGGTGTGTGTGTGTATGTGAGAGAGAGAGGAGAGTGTATCATGGCATGTGTGTGGAGATCAGAGGTGCCTTCTTTCCTTCTACATTTATGTGGATTTTGGGGATAGATCTTGGGTTTCCAGACTCGCTGAGCAAATGCCTTATCTACTAATCCATCTCCCTGGCCTTTCTAAAATGTCTACTTTATCTATTAGAAAAATGAGAAAACATTTTCTATTGATTTCTTGCTTTTTTTTTCTTGTAATTCTGTCAAGTTTTGCTTGTAATAAATTTCATTTTTAGGTAATATAAGAATTCATTTATACTTTTTTTTTTTTTTTTTGGTTTTTTGAGACAGGGTTTCTCTGTGGTTTTGGAGCCTGTCCTGGAACTAGCTCTTGTAGACCAGGCTGGTCTCGAACTCAAAGAGATCCGCCTGCCTCTGCCTCCCGAGTGCTGGGATTAAAGGCGTGCGCCACCACCGCCCGGCAAGAATTCATTTATACTATTTATCCATACAAGCCTGTGTTGTAGGAGGCCACTTGTTCATGGTAATTATTGCTACTATTCCCATTTTAAACATGATAAAAATAACCATTCATCTCTCTCCCCCTAGTTTATTGAGTATTTTATTATTTAAAAAATAATTCATTTATATTCCAGTAAAACTAGTCTTTTAATATGGTACCTTCTTATTGGTTATAAAGCTTCTTGCCTTAGATACAATCTTGTCTGCTATTAATGTGGCCATAACTGTTTTCTTCTGATGAATACTTATTTTCTTTCCTATTCTATTTTCTGGTTTTGTATATTTTATGTAGCTCATCTAGAGAACATACAGCTTGATTTTACTGTTTAATCTACCACTATATTTTAATTGGCTACTTTAATATTAGGGATTGAACCTAGGGCTTCACACATGCCAAGCAGGTGCTCTGCCATTGAGCACTGGCCCTTTTATTATGTTATTTCGAGACAAGGTCTTACTAAGTTGACTAGTTTAGCCTTCAATTTACAGCTTTTTTGCCTCAACATTTCCAGAAGCTGGGATTACAGATACAGCTTGTTTTTGTTTTCTGAGACAAAATGTTGCTATGTAACCCAGGCTGGCCTTCAAGTCCTTCTGCCTCAGATTCCCAAGCACAAATCAAAGAAAATTTGCCATCCCGAATGGCCTGTTTGCTTTTTAAATGATTCTATCCATCCATTTTATGCTTCTATTGGACTGACTGTTTTATTAAGTTTTCACTTTTCTTCTAATTTGAAAATTATTACTTACATTCCTATTCAAATTTTCTTCCTAAATTAGCTCCCCACATTTATGTCTGCATTTTAAAAGAAGTGTTTGTATTTATTGAGAAACAATAACTCTGTCCTTCACTCCAACAGTTGGGTGTACCTAAAATTTTTTTAACCAAAAATAACTCTTTCTTGACATAACATCTGAAGGCTCCGATATGTCAACTATATTGACAATTCACCACACCACCATTAGCAACAAGCACAACAAGCCAAGCTTCAACTCTGCAAACAATTTCTCTGTAAGCGAACATTTTCTTGCAATGCTTAACAACTGAGGTCACTGTATAAAACATGCTTTGTACTACAGGATTCTGAGAAATTATGGTTCTAGCTAAGCTGGTACCAGCAGGTATCCTTTTCTTCCACAGACAATCCAAACCCACAAACCAAACAATCCCACGTATTATTTCTAAACACTGATTCTAGATCAGAATCATTCTAAATGAGAACTGCTTTTTTAATGCGTGAAAATAAAATTTAAAAACTACAAAATAAATACATTTAGGACCAAAGAACCAAAGAATGAGGATTATTTTTGTTTCACATAGAAAATAAAAATATTTTCCCTTATATTTAGGAAATTCATTTTATAAACCAATTCTCTTCTTTAGATATATGCCTTGGTCTCCTGCCCATGTAATTTCCCCCATTTTCTTCTTTATTTTTGCAGTGGTGGGCCCATGCAGGCTAGAAAAGCTCTCTGCTACTGAACTATATATACTCTTAGTTCTAAAATCTTTAGCTTTAATACATGACTAAACATAATAAAAGAAGAAATCGTGGTTTCTTTTTTTGGTTTCTTCCTCCTCCTTTTTTTCCTTTTAGGCTGGGTCTCTCTACATTGCCCTGTCCTGGAACTCTATATGTAGACCAGGTTGCTGGAAATTCAGAGATCCACCTGCCTCTGCTTCTCTGAATGCTGGGATTAAAGGCCGGCATCACCACACCTGCTCCTCCCACCCCACAGCCCCCAGACAGGAGCATCTCCTGTAGTAGCCCACGCTATCCTCCAAGTTGCTGTATAATCAAGGATGACCTTGAACTTTCGATCTTTCTACGTCTACCTCTAGAGTGCTGGGATAACATGCTTATCACTGTGTCTGGCTGTATGTGGTGATGAGGAGCAAATGCAGACTTCAAGCATGCTAAGTAAGCATTCAATCAGTTGAGCCATGTCCCCAGCCTAGGAATCACTTTCCCTTTTTTTTTTTTCTCCACATTAAGCTAACTTTTTGACACCCCGCTCCCCGACTCTAGATCAGAACACTGAACTTGTTCACCATCTTTTAAAGACAAAAAAAGTTTTACAGTAATCCATTCCTAACATGGTCTCCTATTACAAACCTGTTAGTGTCCCATATAATGACATTTCCATCAAATCCTGATGTTACTAAGAGTCTTGTATTAGTATCATATTCGATGTTCTTCACCCAGCTAGTGTGACCATGTAAAGTGCATACTTTGGTGTTCAATTTTCTCAGATCCCATAGTGCTATTGTAGTATCATCAGAGCAGGTAGCAAATAGCCGGTTATCAAGAAATCTACAAAAGCAGAAAAGAAAAACTGGTTCATTTAATCTCTACTTAAAAAAAATATGATTTTAAAAACAATCTCTGTACAACCAGTGGAAACCAAAGGACTGGAACCTCCCTGTAAAACCCCAGCAATTCTGACACACTAGATAGTCCACACCGACTGCTAATGAATACAAACACACTATAACTGGCCTATGTCACTGTGGATTTTATTTGAAAGTAGAAATTGTGAATAGGTATTTGGGGCAGAGTTGGCGGAAGGGAAGGGTGAGGGGGAGAGGGAAGAGGGGAAGGGGGAGGGGGAAGGGGGAGAGGAGAGAGGGGGGAAAGGGAGAGGGGGGAGGGGGAAGAGGAGGGGGAGAGGAAAGAGGGGGAGGGAGGGGGAGGAGAGAAGGGGAGGGGGGAGGGAAAGGGAAGGGGAGGGGGAAGGAAGAAGAGGGGGAGAGGGGGAGGGGGAAAGGGGGAGAGAAGGGGGAAGGGAAGAGGGAGGGAGAAGGGGAGAGGAGGAAGGGAAGGGGGAGGGGGGAAGGGGAGAGGGGAGGGGAGAGGGGAGAAGGGAAGAGAGGGGAAAGGGGGAGAGGTGGAGAGGAAGAGGGGGAGGGGAGGGGGAAGGAGAGAGGGAGAAGGGGGAGGGGAGAGGGGAGGAGAGGGGGGAGGGGGAGGGAGAGGGGAAGGGGAAAGTGGAGAGGAGGAGGGGGAGAGGGGGGAGGGGAGAGGGAGAAGGAGAGGGGGGGAGAGGGGGAAAGGGGAGAGGAGGAGGGGGAGAGGGGGGAGGGAGAAGGCGAGGGGGGGAGAGGGGGAAGGGGGAGAGGAGGGGGAGGAGAGGGGGAGAGAGGGGGAAAGGGGTAAAGGGAGAGGGGGAGGGGAGAGGGAGAAGGCGAGGGGGAGGGAAAGGAGGAAGGGGAGAGGGGGGGAAGAGAGAGGGGGAGAGGGGAGAGGGGGAAGGGGGAAGGAAGGAGAAAGGAAAGGAAGGAAAGAACTCCAGAAAAAAGGGCTTAATAGAAAACAGATTTTAAGGATTCGACTGCTCAAGGGACACTGTATTAAACAAAAGACTCTAATAGAGATTTGTTACAAGTAATGCCTCTTTCTCTTTATAACAAATTTACATACAAAACTTGCGATTTGAAGTGCCACCATTTAAATCTATTAATTCAAAAGCATTCCCCAAATAATCTCCAATGACATTTTATTAGTGATGACTGTAAGACAGACTTATGCTTATGCTACTTATGCTATAATGTAGACTTTTTATAATTTTTACTAATTTCCAAATCCTTAGTAACAACATATTTTCCCAGTCCTTAGTAACAACATACAAACACTTATATACTGACCATTCACTTTTGTTTCTGTTTAATAGTAGTATAGTATCTTTAGCAAGTACTGTTACATACAACTTCATAGTCTCCAGTAGAACAAATAAATTCTGGAGCTTCTTCCAACATAAAATTATATATAATTCTGTCTAAAATAAATATCAATATCCACACACAACACCATGACCTTACTGCAATTTATCATGGATTTGTCTCTTTTACTTGCTTATAAGCCAATAGCCTATTTATTCCCAGGCTGCCTCCCATCCAATACTAAACAGTCTTAAGCTCTGCTCAGAAGTATGGCACGTGAACCTGCCTAGCACATTCGGGGCAATATGGCCGTAGACTTACTTATAATGGCTTTAATTCTAGACTCACCTTCTTCCTCTTCCTTAATTTTGTTTTCGTTTTAATATTTAGCTGTCATTTCTTCCAGGAAGCCAGCACCTTTTTTTTTTTTTAAATAAAATTCAGTCTTTATCTAGTCTAGAGTAGTTCACAAATATGCTAAGCTCCCCAATCACTCTTTAATTTTTGGGGGTGCATTGTGGTGTATTTGTATGTGCACATGTATGTACAGGTTCACTTATGGAGTCAGAAGCTGTCTTCCTCTATTGTTCTTCACAATAGAGGAAGGGGATCTTGACTGAAGCTGAAGCTTGCTACTTCTGCTAGAATAGAGTTAAAAGTGAGTACCACTGAGTCCAGCTTTTTGGTGGATGCTGGCGAGCCGAACTGAGGTTCCTATGCATGCACTTTATCCACTGAGCTATTTTCCCACCCCAGTGCTTTACACTTCTAGACAGGGTTTCTCTGGCCCTGGCTGTCTGGAACTTGCTCAATAGACTAGGCTGGCCCCCGCACTTCTTTCATAATATTTAACACTGTGATATAAGGAACAATTTTAGAAAGCTATAAACTCCTTGAAGACAGGGTAAAGTACCTATCATGTGATTAGAGCTGCAGCACCAAGCACATGTGCTTATTTAATTTACTTAAAGACAGGGTATCATATAGCCCAGGATGGCCTCAAACAACACTGAACTTGGGTTGTCTCACTGCAGGAGTAGGCTACCATGCCCAGTTTATGTGGTGCTGAAGATCAAACACAGGGGTTCATGCATAAAAAGCAATCACTTTACCAACTAAGCTAGATTTCTAGTTCTATCTGTAAATGTTTATTAAATAAATGAATTAAAGAAATTTATTACCCAGAAGACAAAAACACATTGTCACATAAAACTATTATGTGAAATAAGCAAAATAAAGAGATAGGTTAGGAAAGAGTACAATGAGAACTGACTAAAAATGAATAGGAACTCCCAGGGGTAAGAAACACAAAGGTATGTAAAAGATTGCTATATGTGGTCGAGGAGACAAATGAGCAATTTACTGACTTACTGCAGTGATTCCCTGCTGTGAGAGTACATTCTGCTCCTTCACCCAATAGCCTTTAAGAGACCAGACCCAAGTGGGCTGGTATCCCGATGGCTTTTCTCCTCCTTCCCTGCCTCCTCTAAACAGGATCTCACTATGTAGTGACCTAGTTAACCTGAAATTCATTATGCAGACCAGGCTGACCTCAAACTCACTGAGAGCCTCCTGCCTCTTCCTCCTAAGTGCTGGAATAAAAGGTATGTACCACCACTTCTGGCCACTCCAAGACTCTTAAGAGAGTGAGATGATTTCATAGGAATTTTAAGATCATTAGATGACCAGATCCCCAAACTTTTGGGTTTTTATTTTAAAAGTTAAGTAAGATGGAAAAAAAATCAACTTCTCAGTATTTGGTAATAAAATAACTAAAGTAATCATTGCATAAAAGATATTTTAATCTCTAAAATGTAGAAAGAATCTTACAGTAAAAGTTAATAATTTGAATTGAGTTTACCTTAATGAAAAATTCAATACTTTGACTTTTTCACTCATTTTTCCTCCAAGGATTAACTGATAAATTTTTTATACTGGTAAAGAGACTAAATCATATAGTAGTAAAAGTAGTGTGTAGATAAAGATATCATCTATGGCAATTTTAATCCCAAAATATGTATATGTACAGAAAGTAAAGTATTACGATAGCCCTTGGATACATGGACCATTCCTCTCCAGTTAACACTTAGAATAGCCTAGAAAGCTGTAACTGTTGGGCTGGGATGTAGTTCAGTTGGTAGAGTGCTTGCTTAGTATACACGAAGCAATCCCAGCATGCACTTAGAAGGCAGAAGTAAGGGAATCCTAAATTCAAGGTCATCTGTGGCTATACAGTGAGTTCAAGGCCAGCCAGAGTTATGCAAGGGTTACTTAACACGCTGTCTTAGAAAAGGAAAAGTTATGAGATGTTTCTAACTCTACATTCTTTGACATGTAGGAGCTCCTCTTGCACAAACACTAAAATCTGTCTGAATCAGAACCTCTCAACTGTGCCCACAAAACTCTAAGTTGGCTATAAAACCTCTGGATGGACTTCTGTCTGGAGGAGCTAAGCTCTCTATTTGAGGAAAACTGGAAAAGGATAAAGGCAACTGAAAGTGCATTCTTTTAGGACTTACATTTCACTGTCCAAGTCAAAATACTGTTGAATGTTTAACAAAACTTAAACTAAAAAAAAAAATCACAGAAAGAAACTCTTCTTCATTTAATAACTACATGTAAATTCTTAAAACTGGATTAAATCTTGAGTATTTTTTGATATAATACCTACAATGAAATTATGAGACTATTTTATCTTCCCTTCATATTTGGGGTTTGTTCTATAATGAAGTTCACTTTCCCATAAATCCTCAGATTTTATAAACTGTTCCAAGAGCCAGTGAGATATTCACGAAATTCTAGGTATCTCTTGTGCCATTCTTTCCATCGCTTTTTTCTGACATTTTTCATCTCAGATCGCTATTGCCAATGATTTTACATGTATCTTGACCATTTCTTTAGTATCACTTTCAGTTTTATGAAATTACACATGCAGTTCCCCTCAGCTGGCAAATACTGTATTTGTCTTACATTGTGTGAAATAAACACAAGAACCCAGGAACAACAAATAGTTAAGTAATGCTACATTGATTGTTGCCAATCACTGAGTGTATATTCTTAGTTTTACCTTGAGGCTTTCCCCTTACAACCTCATAATTACAGGGCTCTAGATTGCTATATGGACTCTTACATATAAAGTTCTCAGGAATAAGAAGTAAGCCTACAAAATGTATTTTAACATAAACATTTTTCTTTCTTAAAACATGAACAGAAAATATTCTCAACTATCATTATTATTATTTTACAAAATTAACAATCCGCAAAACTAAAAAATTAACTAAAAGACATGACCAAGAATGTGCAAAATGACTACCTTGAATGAAACCAAAAAAATATATGTATGCCCACACCTCTGCAGTGTCTACAGAGAGGCAGTCTCATGGACCCATGTGTGAGTTCATTTCTACTACTTCCTGTATATGAAGCCTTGAAGAAATCTCTTTATAAAAGTCATTATTTCCTTATTTCTTAAAACAAATATGGCATTTATCTCACATGAAGATATGATAAACATCAGAGTAGCTGAGGCAGATAGACCACAAGTTCAAGACCAGCCAGACCAGCCAGCCTGGCAAGACCTTACCTCAAAAAACAAAGTAAACATTTTTAATTAATCTGTGTGTGTTTGTGTGTGTGTACATATTTGTACACCCA